AAGCTATCAATTAATGTGAAGTTGTCTGAAGTTGATTTATCTTATAGATTGACTAACGATTAATTGATAAGCAGCCATTTTCTTAAAAACCAGTTTTCTATTGATTCAAAAGGGTCTTTTCATAAAATGAAGGATTTTTTAAAATAATATGCTAAATTAAAAAAAGAAGCACATCATAAATATTTCACAATTGATTTTGCAGCTGTATTAAACACCGACTGAAAACCCCCCCCCAACAACATGGATTTCTCATACATTTGTAAGAATATTCGTGTTCAAAGACTGAAGTCAGTAGAAAACCACCAATGTTAAATAATATGATTGTTAGATGAGATAAAACCATATAAAACCAGAATTCTGGGAGTGAGGATTTAATGCCATTCAGATCTGACAGGAAACCACACACTGCTGAAAAACCAGGAAGTTGATCCATTTATAGAGTCTTCAATGCCCATGTTCGCCCCCTACTGACCTACGGCTGAATCACAGGCATTCATACACAATTCTTCCCTGATGTTTCCATAACGGATAAATATGTGTTGTTATAGATATTTCAGACATGTAACTAATCTATATCAATCAACACATTATAGATTAACCATTATAAAAAGGAAAACCTAAAAATATAGTGTTGTGCTTTTAACATCAGTACTAATCTGTAAAAACTATAAATTTCTTCACATTAATAAACTTGGTTATAGATATAAAACATAACAAAACAGAAATAGGTTGCTGAATGAGGAAAACAGATAAAAAGAATAAAATGATTTTAGATGTAAAACTATTATTAATTTATTACAATTAGACTTTATTTGCATTTGGAATTAATGATTTTTCTCTAATTCTTTATGTTTTGCTTCCTTCTTGTTGGTTCTGTTTGTGGCTAAAATGACCCAGTAAGCGGTTCTGAAGCAGTCTCCCATCCCTCCCCTGCTAAGTCAGACCAAGAGTTCTGCTCACGTCTTTTTTATTTATTTATTTTTTTAACCTTCGTCCTGAACCTTTTTGCTGCTTATCAAACAACTTTGAGCCTCGGTCAGAAAAAAAGACGGGAGGGTTTTTTATATTTCTGGTCCAAGAGAAGGAGTTAAATGGTGGACTGAGGTTTTTCTTCCCCCACAGGACGTGTTTCCTCCTCGCATCAAATCAGACCATCATTYAAAAWAATTATACTTTTTATCTTCGGATCTACTTGGTCTAACAACACAATTTAAAAACTGGTTTAAAGTTCGAAGTCTCTACTTTTCACTCGAGAGTCTCAGAGAGGGCGGATCTTTACAGGTAGTTTTTTTTTCTTCCTAAACTTTATTCAGGTCAGCCAGCATTGACAACGCTCTGCGGGTGACGTAAACGGCTCCGCGACACGGCGAGGGACACATAAATTGCGCGACACAACGAATCGATAGTAAATTTGTTGCCAACGCTTTTAATAATCGATTTTTATCGATTCGTTGTTTCAACCCTAAAATTTATCATTTTACCTCCGATTTTTTAAACAAAATTTCGAAACCTCTGGTGTTATCTCTGCATTAGCAACATTATTTTAGCTTTACCTGGATTTATTGTGTAATAATTTCTGACCCCATTCTTTACAACTCACTGGGCATCTTTAGGCCCTGAACCTGAGCCATGAAGGACAGGATGTCTCTGGTGGAGTGCTCAGGGCTGAAGACGTGGTGCTGCCCCCTCTGGATGGGAGGGAGGTGACGTTTGGTGGTGCTGGTGCTGTGGAGGAGCTGCGTCAGGTACTGGTCAAACATGTCTTTGAAGCCCTCTGAATAAAAACACAAACAAATCAGACTCCATTCAACAAATAWAACCTAAAACCGTTTTTGACGGACCCTCTGGAAGGTCGGAGGGTCTGAACTCCTCGTCTTCCTCCTCCACGTCCTCAAACAGGTCGTCGCTGTCTTCATCCAGGAAGGTGAGGCGGGTGTGGAAGGAGGTGGTCTGAACGCTGGAGAGGTCCGACATCTGCACCCTGAGGGGTCAGACACAAAAAGAATCCAGGTAAAGAACAGGCTCGACGTTTAAACAGGAAGTTTTTTTTATTATCTTATGGAATAAAGTCAAACCTGGCTCCTGCAAAGTAACCATCCTGCAGTTTCCTCAGAGTCGCCACGATGCAGGGATCAACTGCATCTCCGTCTTCAACTGAGAGTCGAGAGAAGAACAGAGGTTCAGAACAGAACATCGAGGGTACCAARCGACCAGCAGACAAACTGGACTTCCTCTGATGATTTAAGGACTGAAACTGTGCATGCTTCCCAGAACCCAGACCCATCAGACTGGAAGACGTGTGTCTGGTTTGGAGAGCTCAGTGGTGCTTCAAGGTTCAGAGATGTTTCTACAGAACTCCTGTGAGCTGCTGCCTTCCTATCAGCTCCAGTTTCTGAAACACTAAGACCAACAACCAGACCAGGTTCTGATGCTCGGTTTGACCCAGGTGGATCCAGGTGGGCGCAGCTTTTAAAGTCTTCGTACCCAGCATGCTGCGAGTGATGGGGAAGGTCAGGGTGGGCCGTCCCGTCATCCTCCAGCAGGAGGACAGGTAGGCCAGCTCGGTCCGTAACATCTCCACGATCATCTGGTTGTCCAGAGCCAGGTAGAAGTGGTGCTGATCCAGAAACTGAGCACAGAGGACAAACAGGTTTTACCAGAACTCCTGGTCATTACCCAAAGCTGCTCTAAAGTTCTCACCTGAGGGGCAAATATATAGGAGCGGTTTCTGATCTCGTAGAACTTGGAGGTACCCAGGACCCCGATGTGTCTGTAGGGCCGCCCGCTCAGGTTCAGCTTCCTGCAGTTTCCTGTGACGACACTGGTTTTTACTCCCGTTTCACAGAAACGTGCAGCATTTGATCAAAGCGTGGGTTACCCAGTCTGACGTAGATGTGGCTCAGGATGCGAGCAGGCATGACCCGGATGGGCAGAACCTCCAACATCGTTTGGACCTCAAAACCAAGATCTCGTAACAACTCCTGGATCTCCTTCGACTCCGCGAGGACACAAACTGACCAAGAAATAAAACACATATCATGCTCCGCCCACTGCCTTGTGTAAAGTAGCATAAAGCTAGCTAAAAGATACAAGTAGCATAAAGCTAGCTAAAAGATACAAGTAGCATAAAGCTAGCTAAAAGATACAAGTAGCATAAAACTAGCTAAATGATACAGGTAGCATAAAGCTAGCTAAATGATACAAATAGCATAAAGCTAGCTAAATGATACGAGTAGCAAAGAGCTAGCTAAATGATACAAGTAGCATAAAGCTAGCTAAATGATACAAGTAGCATAAAGCTAGCTAAAAGATACAAGTAGCATAAAGCTAGCTAAATGATACAAGTAGCAGAAAGCTAGCTAAATGATATAAGTAGCATAAAGCTAGCGAAATGATGCAAGTAGCATAAAGCTAGCTAAATGATACAAAGAGCACAAAGTAAACTAAAAGCTAAATAAAGGCTAGCTAAAAGCTAAAAAGATCAAAANACCATCCATCCATCCATCCAACCATCCATCCATCTTTCCAACAAACCAACCAACCAACCACCTACCTACCTACCTACCTACCTACCATCCATCCATCCATCCATCCACACTTTGTTCTTTCAGCTGATTTATTGATCTGATGACCAACCTTGTACCACAACATCTGGTTTGAAGTTCGTAGAGAATCTCCTGTTGAGAGGATCTACCTCTCCTGGTGCTAAAAATCCCTGAACATCAAAACAGAAAGAAGGAACAAAACGTCTTATCTCCTGCAGGGTTAGGAAGTGATGATACTGTATGTGAGCCTGTATCTGTATCACGTTTTATTCTGCATGTTCAGTGTCCTTACCTCGGCAAGAAGACAGCCCAAAATGTAGAGGGANACTGTACTGTACTGTACTGTACTGTAATGTACTGTAATGTAGTAATGTTAGCATGATGTTACCAGGTGCAGTCTTGCAGCAGCTCTGTTGGAGAATAACACGGCTCTAATATAATGTACTGTAATATAATGTACTGTACTGTACTGTACTGTACTGTACTGTAATGTATTTTAATGTACTGTAGTATTGTTAGCATGACGTTACCAGGTGCAGTCTTGCAGCAGCTCTGTTGGAGAATAACACTGCTCTAATATAATGTACTGTACTGTAACGTACTGTACCTTACTGTACTTTAATGTACTGTAGTAATGTTAGCATGACGTTACCAGGTGCAGTCTTGCAGCAGCTCTGTTGGAGAATAACACGGCTCTCTCTCTGCTGAAACACACAGGACACAGAGCTAATGCCTCTGTGTACTTTAGCTCCGCCTCTCTCCAGTCTGCAGGAACACAAACATGTACAACTGGTTCATTTATTAAATACATCAAACTGGATTGAAGTTGATTCGTAAACTGGTTTGTTAACAGGTTTATAAATGTGGCTTTAGAAAAGTTTGAACTGTTTGATTGTTTTTCTGCTCTTATTTTCTGCTTCTAAACTCAGATAAGACAGAGGTTCTGGTTCTTGGACCTGAACATCATAGGGATCAACTTTG